ATAAATGAGTTTCTTAATGTCTTAGGATCAGATGTAATGATAACAGGATGGAGGCTTGGAAAGCTAATAACTTGGGGTTTTTCCTATGGAGAGATCTAAATTAATTGTACATCTCGGTTTGGCTCATCTTCACTAGAATTCACACTCTTCCAAATGCCTATCACTCAGTGTCAACCCTATTAATTTGGATAGATATGCCATTAATTTCAAATATTTCATCTCTATAAGCATTCTTGGGATTGTTGTAGCCCAAAGTTCTAAAAGTTTTCTGATGGTTAAGAAACATGAAATTCATCTTTGATTTCAAGACCACTGGAAGGCAACCTAAGATGTGGGGCCATGCAGCAGTATGCAGAATAGATCATAATTCATTCAGTTGTGAAGAAGTATATTGACATCAGGCATTGCCATATGTAAACTCAGGCTAGTTTGTAAATCCATTATTAGCTACATAGACAACAGGTCTTCATCATAAATCTTTTTCTGATCTTTTTGGTGGAAGGAAAATTAATCTGGTTAAGTTCCAAGCCGGGAGAAAGGCTTTGGAAACAAAATGAAGGCTGGAGGCTGATTGGAAAGAAAGGTTCTCTTTATTGATGAAGCAGAACCACCAACCAGATGTGATTCTGGGCAGCTGACAAAATGGAGTTGAGAATGGGTAGGCTTTTATACCTTCTTTGGGCTTTGTATTTGAGCTTCCTTTTCCTGTGGAAGAACATATCCTTTAATATTCTATTGGCTGTTATAAGATTCTTATGGGGGTCATGTAGGGGTCATAGCTGGCTCTATAGGCAAAAGAGGAAATCCTAGGTGTTTGTCTGAGATAATTTTGTCAACTTTTTGCTTGTTGCTTATGTGAGTTTCTGTCTTGACCAGTCTTTCTGAATGGATTACCAAATCTGCATTTCTAAAAGCTGGCCATCTCAGTTTCTGCTTGGGGAAGGGAAACTCGGGCTGGTTTCTGCGTTCCTTAAGATTTTTTATTTCTCCTCTAGGGAAAATATTTTATCCTGCCTTTTTAATATTTCCCAAAATATTTCATTCTTCTAGGAGGTGGAGGCGGCTCCCTACATTTTGAAATACATGCAAATCCGTTAATGAGTTTATTTTAATTCTGAAGCCCTGCTCCAATTGCTTATCATTCTAGTCTTACTGATAAATTTGCTTAAGGACAAATAAAACCACTAAGAATGAAAACATTTTTATCAGAGTAATGTTTGCTCACTTCCATTTCACCTTTGGTGGACAATATATGTGCAAGTGCATGTATAGATACACACACAAATAGTATGTGTGTGCATGTATACATATACAAATGCACCTGTGCATATAATCCATAAATTCATTATTTTTGAACAACTCGCAATTGGCTAGATTCATAATCTGCTACATGTTACAACAAAGCCTCGTCAAAGACAAAAGCCATCTCTTGAAGAAAAAAGATTTCCCTGCTCAGAGATGTAAAAAGAGCCAATGAGAGTGACAATATAGGCAATCACTAGAACATCTGCCTCTCTAAATTAGTAGTTGTGGTGTAAAGGAAATGTTTAATTGGTGGACTTCATCCCTGTAAGGTTGATAGAAGGAATTATTTGACCGTAAGAAGCAAAACCACTACAACAACATTTTCTAAGTAAGGTTGAGCAAATGTTGTAAAAGCAATTTAATATGCACTGATGATCTTATTTATACAAGTGACAGTCAAAGGATAGTTCAACAACTCAGAAACAGAGTGAAGTGGGGAAGAGATTAACCCTTTGTGTCCTGAGACCTCGTAAAAATAACCTCCCCATTTAAACCAAGTTTATATTAGAAAGTCAAACTAAATGAAAAGATTATTGTGGGTGAAACAGAAAATCAATTTTAGATGTAAAGAAAGAGTGATTATATGGGAAAGAACAAACAGGTTTTAGATGCAGAAGAAAATATGTTTCATATCCTTCATTTCAACTTAGTATTAAGATTTAATATTAAAAATCAAATTAAGAATTAAGGTAAAAATTAGGAACAAAATAGAATTAAAATTCTTTGACTTTAGAACTTATTTTTTGATTGTAATTATCTAAGATAATTATGTAGTCACTTATAATAATAATGCCCTGAAAGCTCACTCTTCATCTTTCAATTAATTTTAACAGTGTTTAATCATTAATCAAGATCCGTTGTTAGAATGCAGTATTGCAGGCTAACTCTGCCCATAGCCAGAAGATCGATCCTGACTGGCTCAAGGTTGACTCATCCTTCCATCCTTCCAAGGATGGTAAAATGAGGATTCTGACTGTTAAAATATGCTGATATTGTAAAGCTATCAGAGAATGCTATAAAGCACTATATAAAACCATATATACTTTAGGTTTAAGTGCTATTGCTATTTTTGCCTCTTTCTAAATGTTTAAATTTTATACACTGATTTTATATTTTAACATTTTATTGTATACTGCACAAAGCTCTTCTCTGAGACAGATGGCCTGTGAGAATTTTTTTTAAAAAAAAAAAAACTAAAAATAACTATTAACAGTCAGAATGTATATACTTTTCCCAAACAGGCATTAATAGAGAGTGAGGAACTGGGATTCGAGCCCTTCTTGGTACAATTTCACATATATTGCTTTTCCTGTTGTAAATCTTCAACTTTCTTGCATATGTCCAGTGTGGGATCTTGCTCTCCAATCTTCATATGAAAAGTTCCTGTAGTGCATGAAGGGGACTATTGATATATATAAATATATTGAGAAAAACAGCATGCTTAGCAGATTATCAGAAAAGACTTTAACAATGAAAAAGGTATATCCCATATGTTCTAATATTCAGTACAATGATTAAAAGTGCTTTGTAAGTCCATAAAATCAATCTAGAAATCAATTTTCTTTCAAACTGCCTATTCCTTGCTGTAGAACTCCAGATGGTGTAGTATAGTGTTGGTTTTTTTAAAAAGTGAAATAGATTAGAAAGCAAGAATATGGAAGGGAAATTTTATGACCTTTGAAGGAGAGAGAGAGGGAGGGAGAGGGAGGGAGGGAGGGAGGGGGAGAGGGAGGGAGAGGGAGAGGGAGAAGGGGAGAGAGAGAGAGAGAGAGAGAGAGAGAAACAAGACTGAGGACAATGCTATATTCATTCTGTCAGCAACATGGTACTCACTCTTAATATACATGTACCTTATATTTCCAGAATAATCCTTAGGTAGTTCTCTAGTATTGGAACAAACCATTCAAACCTAATTTATAAAAGATGATCAATACTAATGAATCTCAAGCAACAACTCCAGTCCTGAAAAATCAATGTTATGTTTTTCTTTGCCTGCAAGCACACATTTGTCATGAATTTGACTGCCATTAAATGCCAGTAGAGAGTTGAAAATGAAATGTGGACACTGGAAAGCAAACAGTACCAATTTAAACAAGGAAAGGAGATTGAGATAAAATGTTTGTTTTATCTTAGGGCTGTGCTATGATTTCATCTCCCCCACAGCCCCCTCCAACACATCTTAGAATGAAGCTAGGCTAAAAAGTTAATTATATAAAAATAGAGATTAATGAACATAGGTAAAATAGGCTTTTATTGACCTCCTGAAAGAACAATTTTTGTATTCTTCACATAGTTTTATATTTGGCAAAAGCAATACAGTATCTCTGGTAATCAGACTACCCACATGTTTGACTGGGCTTATTGGATCTAAATTCTAATTAGTTCCTTTATGTAACTAAAAATATTAATTCTGAATAAAAGTAATGTGTTTATAGAGCTCAACCTAGCAGATTTAATGTCCTTTTTTGTTACAGCAGAAGGCTAGCTTTTCCTTCATCTGGAAGATGGCAGTGATTAAACTGTAGGGAGGGAGAGAGCAAAACCTATCTATGAATATTTTGAATAAAAACTAATTGCTTTTCTTTTAAAGATATTTTTCTACAAGCAGGAGGAGCAACTGGCTTTGAGTAGTGGGGCACTGCTACAGAGTTTCCCCATCTAGTCCATTTTGCTATCTCCTATCCTAGGAAACAGGGAGAAATTTCCCAACAGTGAGAACAATTAATCAGTGGAATGGGTTGCCTTCAGAAGTTGTGGGTTGCTCCATCACTGGAAGTTTCCAGAAGAGATTGGACAGCCATTTGCCTGAAATAATATAGATCTGGGGTGTCAAACTGGTGGCCCGTGGACCGGATGCATAACATACAGGCCATACCCAGCCCAACTCCAGGAAGGGGAAAAGCATCACGATACGTCACGTGACAGCAATGTGATGCCATGAGTTTGACACCCGTGGTATAGGGTCTCCTGTTTGAGCAGGGGGTTGGACTAAAAGACCCCCAGGGTCCCTTCCAACTCTGTTATTCTGTTAGGTCCCTCTGAGCTTTACCAAAACATTGAGCTGAGCATAGAAGTAGATATCTTTGCGCTGGAAAAGAAGATGGTAGTAGTTACTGCATAATCTCATAAAATGTCAAAGGAGAAAAAGTGATGCCAGAATGCTTAAGAGGATCCATAACAATTGTTCCCCATTCCTGGCATTAAAAACAAAACAAAAAAAAGATACATGTTAGTCAGGATTTCATGCAGTCCAGGAGACATTTTAGAGATTTTCAATCACGGGCTCTGCAGGAAGCTGATATCTAAGAAATCATTTATTTATTGGTTCTGTATATTTCGTCTTCCCTTCCATCAGGCTCTCAATTCAAAATTCAAAGCAATTTTAAAAGGCAAAAAGTTACACAAAGTCCCAAAAAAAGTCTGGCTGAAGAAGAAAGTCAAAGTCATTTCCTGAAGGCAGAAAGAGTGAGAAATAAACACAAACCCAGAGAGAATATGTTTCTTAACTTCAAAGCCATTTGGGAAAGAGATCCTTCAAGCCTAGGTTGAATTCAATCCATTGATGAAATAAAAAATATATATTCTTTTTTTGTGTATCTGTATACATGCACACCCTATCTAAATAGAAGCAACTGACCAGGTTTTATGACCATTGATGGGACACATCCTTTCTTTTTCTTTTTTCTATTTTTCAGCTGGGCTGCTGGAATCCTACCTCTGGTCTCAATGGGTCACTAACAGATAGAAGACTGGAAAATAACATGCGGGGAGTAGTTCTTCGTGTAGTGACTGTGTTGGTAAGTGGAATTTTATATATATATTTTTAAAAAATCATGTATAGGTATAGATCTATTGAGGCTATAGAAATCATCAGTTCAGAAATCATGTGGCAGTTTCCGTAAATCTCCAAAGTGAACGTGAAAAAAGCACCAGGACAAAGTGAAAAGAAAGACTAGGGGTGGTGACATGATAGCAGTGTTCCAATATTTGAGGAGTTGCCACAAAGAAGAGGTGGACAAATATTTTTTAAAGCACCAGAAGGCAAGATAAGAAATTAGGGATGGAAACTAATCATGGAGAGAAGCAACCTACAACTAAGGAGAGATTTCCTAACAGTGAGGACAATTAATCAGTGGAATGGCTTGCCTTCAGAAGTTGTGAATTCTCCAACCCTGGAGGCTTTTAAGAAGAGACTGGACAGCCACTTGTCTGGAAGAGTATAGGGTCTCATGCTTGTGCAAAGGGTTGGACTAGAAGTCCAATTAATTATCTGAAACAAAATGAAGAAGTGGCCTGGATCCATTAAACCAGGCTGGGTGTTTCTGAGTCAGTTGTGCTTAGTTGGAATGATTCAAATAAGATTCCAAAAATCTGTGCACTCTTCTTTCCTCTAACTATTTTTGTTGGGTTCTCTGGTTTCCTACAAATAGTTTGCTGATTAAGAGTATCTGAAGAATTAATATAACACAAAACAGAACTGTAATCAAATATGTGTGGCCTTTCCGTAGAGTATTAAACCATTGGACTTAATATTTATCAACATTGGAGGCCATTACCAAATATTTGTTTCAGTATGAATACAAATGTATTGTTCCACTGTGCTAAACTTGTGTGGACTGTGGACATCAAAAGAGGCAAAACAGATGGGTCCAAGAACAAAAGTTCAAGTTTGGAGTGTGATTTTATTGAGAACCACATCATGGTTGTGTTTGACCTTGGGGGGGGGGGGCAGGATGGGTGTGGACAAGATGGCCATGATCAACTTGACATCACTCATGTCAGAGGCGCCTGTGGTGGCTTATGGTACCTCTGCTAGCAAAAATGGACTCCCAAGCTCCGTTTTCAGCTGTGACAGCCTCCTGCAACCCTCTGCCAATGAAAATAGAGCTCAGGAGGGCTGCCTGCAGCCCTCTTGAGTTCCATTTTTGCTGGCAGAGGCACCGCAGGATGGTCCTTCACTGTTTCCAGGGCAGCCCCACAGGTCAGATCTAAGCACTCCGCAGGCCGCATTCAGCCCCTGGGCCTTGAGTTTGACACCCCTGGTTTAACTGATCCAATTATGGTAGTAAAGTGATTGCAATTTCACACAAATTACTGCACTCAGAAAATATTAAAGACTACAAAAGATTGGCTGAACTATCTTAATTCACTTAATTAAGATAGTTTGGCCAATGGGTTTTTTTTTTTTTTTTTTGGTAATCTTTTCCAACACATTTCAGTTTTATCTTCTGTCTAGTTTGTCTCACATCCTGGACACCAGCAAGTTTTTTTTAATTCACTATTAATTATAGGATAATAATTGTAATGTTTATGAAGTAGTGTACTCCAATTAAAAATGAGATAAATTTTGTCCATGGTGTAGAGTTAAAACATGTCATCCCAACATTTGTGGACACAGTGGAAATGTAAATTATAGAAGCCAATTTGTGATATTGGAATACAGGAAAAGGTAATTAAGAATGGAGTAATGGATGCTGACAATACTGATTGATCTGAACCCATTTCAATTAAACTGTTTTATTTGCATTGATATAAGACCCAAGTTGTCAAATGAACAAAGTGAGTATATCCCTTATGGTTCTATTGGACTACTGGTGGTCTTCTCTAGCATTGATTACAAAACAATTCTGGATAATATGGCCAGATTAGGCCTTTGTACTGAATGAGGATGATTGAACTTAAATTTTATTCAGACTATTGGAGATAGAACTGGAGGTTTGAATTATTTTGTATGGGTTTCTTCAACTGTCATTGGTTTTGCAGATGGGAAAAGGCTATGGCAAGGGACATAATTTAATGTCTGTCTATCTATCTATCTATCTATCTATCTATCTATCTATCTATCTATCTATCTATCTATCTATCTATCTATCTATCTA